TTTGTGACTATGTGTGACACTAGTTTTGAAGGAGAACCATATAGTATATAACGCAATGCGATGTACGGGAGTAACAAGGAGTGGTGAGTATCTGCTGCGGCGGCTCCATCGATCTCTGCTTTCTCGTCGATGTTTATTTTTCACTCACTGCGAGAAGGCATATGTTGCCGTCCCCTCCGATCCACACTTCCCTGATTTATGGTCTCCTTTTTTCTAACCTTTTAGGTTACACGTACACGCGATTGGGGCTTTCTTAGATATTTTCCAATTTCGGATGCTTTTTGTCCCAACGCTCATCCGAAACGCGTTGAGCCAACATTTTATAAAATGCAAACTTGTTCAGGGTCCCCATAAGCTGAAGAATATTCATTAAAAAAATTAATTATAGCTTATTTAAGGATTTCATTTTAAAAAGGTTTTTTTTTTTTTAATCTACAAATAGATTTATACCGTTACTGTTGAGTTATTGACCTAGATCTCGTTTGGGAACAAGTTTTTTTTTTAGTAATGTGTTTAATTTTGGCTTAGACTATAATTTTAAAGTAAAAACAGGAATTAATGGTTTCATCTGTTACGGATGACTATCTTTTGTCTTTTTGTGCTGCCAAAAATTGACACTGTGTATGGTGAAAACACGTAGTACGACTATACGGAATTCTCCTGGGGTCGACCGAAGTAATAGAATCTTGGACCGGATATTTAATTGTTAAATAATGGGATGGTTTTGACTTTTTAGCTTTTCCTTTTAGTTCTTGCGCCTTTTTACCTTTTTTGGGCTCTAACTAACCCAAAATCACTTCCCAAACGATCGAACACGGCCCCTTATTATGACAGTGTATTTCTATCCTTAGATCATGCGTGAGCCAAATGATGGGTATGAATATTGCAATAGAGCGTGCATTGGAATTACTCGTATCCATTCTTTGCGTATTTTTACTATTAAAAAAAAATCGATACACCCATATTATCAGATTCGAATGATACAGTCCTTACTCTTTAGATAATAGTATTTCGTTCCATTTTAGCATCCTCTTTTTAAGTCATAGTTATAGCATGGCGAAGAATAAATTGATAGATACCCGATTGAGGAGGGTGTTACTTGGTATACCCATTTTCATAATGCGCTATATCTCTTTGCGTTCGACACTCCGACCCTAATAGACACCGGATTCTCCTGCAGTATTTGATGGCTCTAACATATTTGGCACTGTTGGTTAGGGCTTATTTCCAGCTGTGGCAGATATATTTAATACTGTGGTGTATATCTTTCACAGTGTTAACGCTATTTCTTTGCGTCGATAGTTGTGTATTGGGTTCGTTCAAACAGCTTAACATCTACAGACACCTTAGGTTCTCCTGCACGTGGGGCAGATATGTAATACCGGGGTTTACTACCAATTTCTCTGCGTACTATTCTCTCTGTGTTATCTAAATACCACAAAATTCCGAACTCACTTACGGATTTATTCTCTTGCTGAGTGCGCGAGGAGAACTTAATTTATAAGTAAAAGTGGCAGATTGTAAATACCACGCTGTATGGTCCGATCTATGTCTATTCGAGTCTAACTTTAATTGCTTAAGTTATTATGCGCCTATACTCGTATTGGCAACTATATTCTCATAAACACTTATACGGTTTCTCCGGCCTCTACCAAACGGGGGTCCATTAGGCATGATGGTTACTATAGAATAATCGGTGTGAGATATCGTGAACCTCATTGGTGGGTCATCCATTATCGTTGCGTCTATTATCACACCGCCGTTCAATGCCGTCATCAATCAAAGTGATACGTATAGAGAACGCCTAATCACCTAGCCCGTTATTTACTTTTACTCTTTTGTGAACGAATATTATAACAAAAATTATGTTAGGTATATTATAAGTGATACTATGTATTCGGGGGTTCATATAATTACTTCTTACGCCAACTATACTTTGTTATTTAATATAAAAATGGTTTCTTTTAGCATCCGCGCCCTACAGACAGCACTTTAATCACGTGAGATTCCTACTCCTCTACCAATCACAATTCACTATATTCTTTTCATATTTTTATCAATCACCCAACATAATTCGTAAGTTTTACCCCTTCTACTTCACAATACCATGGTACCTTGTCTGCACCATGTGGTGGTGTTGTTCTACTCAAGACCAGGGGAGCGTTTTGATGAGATCTTCCTCCTACTTCTTTTGCATGCCTTTATTACGGTGATTCTTGTAATAATCTCACATGTCTCGATATATATCTCTTATACCTTGAGTTATATTCTTCTATATCTTGTCTCTCTTTAGTTTAGGTCCATGAATAATTGTATATATTATATATTTTTTACGGTATAAAGGTTATAATCTGATAACACAAATACTATTCCCTTTGAGCTTTTTAAACAACCTCGTGTATACGCAAACTCATATACTTTCTATCGATAACCACCTAATACGGATATATATAAGTCCGGGAAAATTGTCTCGTAACTTCAGAATTGCCTTAGTTGGCTCAATACGAGAGGCGTTCATTTACCGACCTCCGGCATCATATAATCACGTCGTTTGGCTCGCGTTTTTTTCTCCGGTTCGATAAGCCTGTTCTGTACTCAAAACGATCGCCCGTCACGTTCTTATGGAACCCGGAATTTCTTTGTAGTCCCTTCTGTACAGCCACAAAATTTGAACTACGTAGCATTGTCGATTATATAATTCGCTATACAGTCCAACCATGTCCAACCAAATATATATATATATATATAAAATAATTTAAGCTTTTTTTTTTTTTGGTAAACATAATTTAAGCTTTTGTCCTAGCTCTTCTTCCTCCATTTTTCGTCATAGATTGTACACGTGTTATATGCTCAAGGGAACCGCGTCTATCAATCTTAAACAAATGCCTATATAATCTATTCTATCAATCTTAAACAAATACTATATAATCTTACTATCTATATTAAATATATAAAGTAGAAAATATTTAAAAGTAGTCTTTAAAAAAAGTGTATAAAAACATATTAAAATATACAAAAAAATATTTTAAGATATATGAAAAATATTTTTAAATATTGACTTTTTGTGATACTTAACAACACTTAAAATTGTGATAACAAAATTTATAAAATAAGCACTTTTATTGGTGTGAGTTATAATTTTTTTTAAATGTCCTAAAAACATGATAAGTGCTGTAAATTATTTCAATTACATCCAACTATTATCAGATGTAATTTATACAAATATATAAAGCAAATATATTTGTTGGTGAAGATTTCACATAATTTTTAGATGTGTGACTTGTTAAGTCACACAAAATATCATCAAATGGAATTTGTCAAAAAAATGCAAATTCTTAAATAGGATTGTAAAGTGTCAGGTCAAAACTAATACATATGTTCAGAATTCAAACATCGCTTAGGGTATGCCAATTGTGACTTCTTAAACGACAATCTTCAACACAAGCATCCAATGAAATTTATTTTTTCGTACAGTTAATCATTTTTACTTCATAATTAAGAGAATAAGATGACATTTCTAATAATTAAAGATATTTTAATATATTAATTTTGAAATTAGATCAACTCTAGAGACAATAAATTTGAGTCAAGAAATATATCAAGAAAATAAAATATGATTGAGATTTGATAGTGTATTGTGAAATCTAATGAGATTCTCAATCATATTGATAATTCTTTGTTGCATTTTAGATAATAATTTTAATAAATGTTGAAATTATTGAGACAACTCAATCGGAGAGAGAGACTTGGAATCCGATTTGCTTTTGGTTTTGTTATCTCGAGGACACCTTCTACATACCATTCGATTGGGGCTGTCCGGGGTTCTGGCAACACCACAACCCTTCTTTATCTCTCGACTCACCTTCGGATTATTTCTGGGCGACGGGTGGGACTAGATGTCACACATTTCCTCGGTGGCGTTGTTCCCCGTTGGTAAGATTTTTATTTTTTTTAAATCAAAAAATCAGGAAATTAAGATTGAGAAATTGGAGCTTCCACAAAGCTTGGGGTTTAGAAACCCCTTATAATCTATATATATATATATCTATACTTCTATACTATCTATTAAGCAAAATGGAATTTTTAACCCCAAAACCTGTGGGAGTTTCAATATCCCAATTTAAATTTTCTAAATTTTTTATTAAAAAAAACTCAGCATTTATTGATGTGGTTAAAATTTCCTTATCAACATTTATTAACTTTTTTAAATCCACATGTCTTTTCACATGCCTGCGTTTATTAATTTAGTCAAAATCCCCTGATCAGCATTTAAAATCTCCTCATACAAATAATTATAGATACAATCTGTGTATAGTTAATGCAGTACCCTTTTCAACTTCTTTCATACACTATGATTGGTGATATGATTGTTAAATTATTTTTATAAAAAAGTTTTAAAAAACATAATTTATATATTAAAAAAATTTAAAACAAATATAAATATTTATGATTATCCCGTGCATAGCACGGGTGATAGGCTAATAATACCATACTCATAAGTAATTTTTATTTTTTATTTTTATGTCTACATGTGAAAAAAAATAAAATGATAATACTGAGAATAGAATTCAAATAAAATTTGTGAAAGAAATTAAAAACCATTTCCAAACAGTGAGAATGGATAAGGCGGTGGGGTGGCCTCCACCCCACCTTCCATACCTCCAAAGTAACCTAAATCCCCACCACTTTTATCAAAAATACCATTCATCATCATCGGTGGCGACACCGCCGTAAAACCGGTGGCCGACGCCGGGGACAACGGAGTCGAAATGGTGGCATAATTATAATTATAAGATTCTGGGGTGATGAGTAGAGGCAGACCTATCACTTGTCTTTGGCTCAACCACCCCGAAGGCGGTGTTTCAGGCGATCGGCAAAAAGCGTCGATATTGGGAGATGAAATTGCCTCTATAGTTGCAATTTCCTCTCCCCCTTCGCTCTTGACTGAACAACTTGTTGCTAAAACTCCAGATGACGATGGTGATGGTGTTGGCGATGGCGATGGCGATGAAGATATCAGCAAACGTCTCTTCTTCTCTTTATCCAGCATCATACGGGGTAAAATTTCGGGGTCTTCGACGACTCTATGTAGAAAAGCCATCATTTGTTGTGGACGCTTCTCCGTAAGCTCGAGCCTCTTGTTCATGCCTTCAAGCTCTGTCTCTAAATCTTTTTGTTCCTGCTTCAACCTCGCTATCTCCATAACTATCTCCTCATCTTCATCGTCGTCTTCTTCGAACTTGCGCTGCTTATTGTGTTTCCTCCTGGAGATGTTCTTCAGCAAATGCTTCTGACCCCGCAAAAACCACTCGTTCGCAAACTCCCATCTATCCGGATCCACCTTTCTAAATCCCTGGTCGATTATTCAAAACTGTAAAATTTCACAATTCACACACTACGCTGTGTGTTTTTAAATTTTATTAAATTCACTGACTTGTGAATCAAATATCTTGACATGTATACGTACATCATACGGCACGCTGTGTTTACTTAGAAGATTTGATTAAAAATAAATAAAAAAATATAATTATATTTAACGAATTTTACACATTTTTTCTCTTTTTCTTTTAAATTTTTCAATCACACATAGCGTGACAGTGGATCAAATATAGACTCAGAAATATATATAGATATACTTACATATGTATTGAGTTGGCGAACGAAGCTGGAGAAATTGTTGTGCTTGAAATATGCAGGGAGGATTCGCTGAGAGAAATCCAACGGGTCAACGACGATGAAACTGTTATTCGCTTTTCCCCAACTGATGAAACGGTCCGTCGTTGGATCGCTGACCATCTCATAAGTCTTCATGATGAACGGCGCGATTAAATTGTTAGCTTCCATCACATAAACTCTTCTCTCTAAAACTACTTTCTTTCTCTCTCTGGTGTGATAATGGAGCAGCAGGTTGAGCCGAGAGAGAGATATGTGATTTGTGTTTTGTTTTTTTGCCTTTCTTTTTTCTTTTTGACAGTTGACACTAGTTTGAGGGAGCATAGTAGTATATAACAATGCGATGTACAGTAACAAGAGTGGTAACGTGGCGGTCATCGACCGGTTCTGATGTTTTTTTAATGACAAAGTGGCGTCCACTTGTTTTCCCTTTTCTAACCTTTTGTTACACGTCACGGATTGGGGCTCTTAGATATTTTCCAAGTTCGGATGCTTTTGTCCCACGCTCATCACGAAACGCGTTGAGCCAACATTTTAAAATGCAAACTTGTCAGGGTCCCCATAAGCTGAAGAATATTCATTAAAAAAAATAATTATACTTATTTAAGGATTTTATTTTAAGAAAGGGTTTTTTTTTTAAGTCTACAAAATAGATTATACCGTACTGTTGAGTTTATTGGACCTAGGTCTCGTTTGAGAACAAATTTTTTTAGTAATTTTTTAATTTTTTAACTAAAATTTAATGTAAAAAAAATTAATATATTTAAGATGACATTTTGATTTTTTACAAAAAGATGTGTAAAAAGTAGAGAGAAAATAGAATCTTTGACTTTTTTATATGGATTGTTGACTTTTTAGGTTTTTTAGTGACTTTTTAACTTTTTTGCTAAAAAAATCACTTCCCAAACGAGGCCTTATTATAAATTTCATTCTAATAATTTGAACAGTGTAATTGATAGAGCTCATCAAATATTTTATTTATATAAAAAAAATCATATTAATCAGATATTGATAGTCCTTTATTAGAATATATTTTTATTAATAATTTATTTTTAAAGTCATATTTATCATTAGAAAAAATATGATCTGATTAAGAGGTTATTGATATCCAATCAACGTAATTTTTTGCATGAACGAAGTATTTGATGAGCTCTACATATTGGCACTGTTTGGTAGGGCTTATTTCCAGCTTATTTCAGTTTTTAACTTAATTTAAGCTATTTTGATGTGTTTGGTTCAGCTTAACAATACAGCTTATAGTTTTTTGTAAGTCAAAAATCAACTTATTCTTTGAGTGGGGGAGGAGAAACATAATTTATAAGTCAAAAATCAGCTTATGTTCACAACTATAAGGTATAAGCTGTTAAGTTATAAGTTATAATCACTTTCCCACTGCTTTCTCATAAACTCTACCAAACGGGACCATTAAATGGTTCAGATCATTAAAATGTGACTCATGGTGGACTCCACGAGTCTAATAGCACCGTCCAGTCTATAAAGTGAACTAGAGAGAAACCCTACCCTTTATTTTATTTTTTAAGAATATTTATAAAAAAAATATTATATTTAGACCTTGTTTGGTATACATTACTTTAGCACATTTTCAAAAAAAAATTATTAGTTGGCCCAAAGATATCACGTGATCCTATCTCTTACCAATCACAATTCACTATATTCTTTCATATTTTTCAATCACCCAACATAAATTCGTAAGCTTTACCCCTCTACTAATCACAATACCATTGGTACCTTGTAGTGGTGTCTCAAGACCAACTAATAACTTCTCCATACTTTTATCTTTTTATTTTATTTATGTCATATTATCTCTTATTTAAATCATATAATTTTTTTTTATAATATTATATATATTTTTTTATAAAAAATTAAAAATACACTTATTGAAATTCGTCCTCGTAACAATATGACTTCTATTATATAAGGAAAATGTCTCGTAACTCAAATTTTGTGGCTCAAAAGTGGCTCAAATGGCCAAAACAACGTCGTTTTGGCCATTTTTATGCTGTTCTGTACTCAAAACGACGTCGTTTTGGCCATTTGAGTCACTTTTAAGCCACAAAATTTGAACTCACGTAGCATTGTCGATTATATAATTCGCTATACAGTCCAACCATGTCCAACCAAAATATATATATATATATAAAATAATTAAGCTTTTTTTTTTTGAGTTAATTTAAGCTTTTGTCCTAGCTCTTCTTCCTCCATTTTTTGTCATAGATTGTACACGTGTTATATGCTCAAGGGAACCGCGTCTATCAATCTTAAACAAATGCCTATATAATCTATACTATCAATCTTAAACAAATACCTATATAATCTACACTATCTATATTAATAGATATAAAGTAAGAAAAATATTAAAAGTAGTCTTTAAAAAAAGTGTATAAAAAACATATTAAAATATACAAAAATATTTTAAGATATATGAAAAATATTTTTAAATATTGACTTTTTGTGATACTTAACAACACTTAAAATTGTGATTAACAAAATTTATAAAATAAGCACTTTTATTGGTGTAGAGTTATAATTTTTTTTTAAATGTCCTAAAAACATGATAAGTGCTGTAAATTATTTCAATTACATCCAACTATTATCAGATGTAATTTATACAAATATATAAAGCAAATATATTTGTTGGTGAAGATTTCACATAATTTTTAGATTGTGACTTGTTAAGTCACACAAATCTTGAATATGATCATTCAATTGAGAATTTGTCAGAAAAAATGCAAATTCTTAATAAATAGGATTGTAAAGTGTCAGGTCAAAACATAATACAAATATGTTCAGAAATTCAAACCATCGCTTAGGGTATGCCAATTGTGACTTCTTAAACGATACAAATCTTCAACACAAGCATCCAATTGAGAATTGTATTTTTTTCGTACATGTTAATCATTTTTACTTCATAAATTAAGAGAATAAGATGACATTTACTAATAATTAAAGATATTTTAATATAATTAATTTTTGAAATTAGATAACTCTAGAGACAATAAAATTTGAGTCAAGAAATATATCAAGAAAATAAAAATATGATTGAGATTTGATAGTGTATTGTGAAATCTAATGATAGATTGGCTCTCAATCATATTGATAATTCTTTGTTGCATTTTAGATAATAATTTTTAAATTGCAGTATAAATGTTGAAATTATTGAGACAAATACGATGGAGAGAGAGACTTGGAATCCGATTTGCTTTTGGTTTTGTTATCTCGAGGGCACACCTTCTATCTCCTAATTGGCTGATCACTTTCTCGTGCGTTGGCTCATAAAAAAGCAACAATTATTCATCTTTTTAATTTGAGAGTTCTAATAGAGTGCTAATAAAATAAAAATTAAAAAAAAAACAAAATATTAAGGTCAAAATATCACAATAATAAATAAGATCCACTCTTTAAAGCTCCTTTAAAGCTCATAATTTAGTACTCCCAAACATTTTTAATAAAAAAGTGACGATGCTATTTTTTAGTATGTGGCGCTTTGTGGTACAGGCACGTGCTACACCCCTCCACACCCAATTGGGTTAACGATTAGTGCTAGGCCCCTGGGAAACAATTTTATATATATTGTTGTCTCTATTATTAAAAAATCAACACTTCCCCTTATTGCACCTTGTTCTTTCCATTTCACCCACTTCATGACAATTTTTATACTACTATTTATAGTACTGGCTACATAAAATATATGCCTAATTGCGCTTAGTTTATTCATAATTGTCCTATAAACTCATTGGTTTATGAGCAATCAATCAGAAGGTGTCACGTTTACAAATTTGAGATCCACCAAATTTTTACATATCATGAATGTGTATATTATTATATATAATAAAAAAGACAAAACAGTTGATAGTGATTTGGATTGTGATGGTTATGAAGGTGAGGGTTCAAGAAAGTAAGGAATGCATTGAAATGGGGGGTTGATGGTGGTTGTTGAGAAATGGGGGGTAAGGAATGCATTGAAGTAAGGATGAGGAATGACTATAATAAAGAAAGTAATTGATGGTAACACTTGTTAGAAGGAGAAGTTGTAGTTAGCAAGAGCAAGTTATGATGAGTGAATCAGATGAGCAAGAGTATGGGAAAAAAATTAGTGGGATTCACAATTTTGTTTTCACCTCCTAATTTGTTGTGAATTTACATAATAAACTTGAATAAATTGATCTCTAATTAATTAAATATAAAAATTAGCAAATGATACTATAAGGTTAATATATCAGGGATTCCGTGATACTATAAGGGTAATATAATAATTTCTTACTAAAAAGGAAGTTTGAAGAGATCAAAAAAAATTTGTTAATAATTAGCAAATCATATAAACTTTTAAAAAATTTAAAAAAGTAACAAAAAAAAAAAGAAGAAAACTAAAAATTATTTAAAACATAATTGTCAAACTCTACCTTAATCTCTCTCTCAAGTGATGAAAGTTGTTGTGCCAGAATGATAGCAACTCATTGTGTAATCTTGGCTGAAGTTGAGATATTAATCTTTATGATTACAACGTTTATTTTAAATAGTGGTATCAAAATAAGTATAGATCGATATTTAAAAAATTGTAGTTATAACATATGGACGTGATTTTATTGATTTAAATATGAAATTTTACTTTATTAGTAGCTAAATACGTATTTATAACTCAATTAAATTACAGTGTGGGTCTATTCTAGTTTATATTGGTGAGAAATATGGATAATTTTTCTCTCTTATACTATTTTCGTAATTACATTCTTATCATATGATCGGATTTTATTAAGATTTAAATAATAGAGGTTAAGGGACTTTATATAGGGGCTAAAGGGAGATTTGTGTGTAAAGGGTTGACTGTCACAATTTCATGTGTAGTGATCAACATGAGATTTGGTGCAAAATACAAGGGTACAAAGTGTAATTTACCCTAATTATATAAAACCTACATTTGTTTGAGGATGATGTAAATACACTTTTATATTTTTTTGCACATATTTTCATAAAAAATCAAAAAATATACTAAATAAACAAATCCCAAATAATTATATCACATATTTTTCTTCTTCAAAAATGCCCACAATAATTTTAGAAAAAATTACAAAACAGTAATATTTAGACATAGAACTTACAAATTCACGAAAAAACTTATCACTTTAATTATTAAAATTGGTATTTCACTATCTAGCAATTAATTTTGAAAACTTACTCTGAAGTACAATTTTTTCATAATTTTAAAAATACTTATGTGAAAAAATTGATTCACATCGTCAAAATTTTAACTATTTGTTTTCTTCATTCCTCAACTGCATATATTATTTACACAAATATTACGAGT